ATTTGAACAATGAGTCGGAGAGCGAGAGATCATGTATTAGTAAAGGAGTCCATAAAGTAATTCTACTCCATGACAATAGTTAGCTATACATTGCGAAAAGGACAAAAAAAGATCATCTTTAGTATGAAAGAAAATTTGCCCGTTTTCCGGCAAATCTTCAGTTGTTCAGCAAATCTGATCCTTTTTTCCACTTCCACTTCCTATTACGGTTCCTACTTCAGTCGCTACAACATCATTTGTGTGACACACATTTGAAATCATTGAACGATGTTCGGAAATACTTTGGTTTTATTATCTCGAAGCCGTGGAGTTTTTTCCTAAATAGAATTAAACTGCTTGAAAGATAGCTCAAGGTCATCATCGAATACAACGAGGATTATCTTAATAATTGGAGACGTAAAACATTCTGTTCAAAAATAAATCTCGAATTAAAAAAAAAACCGAATTAATTTACACAATACATATATAAATTATTAAATCATCGACTAAACTAACTATAATTTAATGTTCGCCCGTAGAGAAATTAATACAAAATTATATAATTATACACTCTTAAAGGAGCAAACGTAAAAATTATGCACTCTTTTAATTTAATAACAATAATAGTAATAACTATAATTAGTAATATTATTACAATTATAATAATAATAATTATCATTATAATTGTAATAATAATTTTTTTTTATGAGAAAGCAGTTTCACACACGTTATCTTTTCGCTGATGAATTCATTTCATGCTTCTTCATTAAGAATGCTGTGTGAGCAATTAATTATTTCAATATACTTCACTCTTGTAAAGTGGCCATTGGCAAGTCAACATCCGAAAAAATCCCGAGGTCGTTCTTTTTGTTAAAACGTAAGTAACAAATTTGGGTTTTGAATATTTCCAAAACAATAATTCAGAGACTATTTTAATAATAAAGCAAATTAAATTTATACTTCACATCACGATTGAATAATTTTGTAGAATGCATTTGATTTCTTTCCACAAAAGTACTTAAGTTTCTGATATAAAGAAAAAACATCAAGTCCTTCTTAAAACTGTGACAAAAATCTTGATCAGAAGTTACCCTTACCAAACTGTCTCTCCCTCCATCACCTCCACGTCAAAACGTCAAAATATATTGTATCTATCGCAACATTTAGTATTATTTATTTATATATTTAGTGTTACTATATATATATATTTAGTGCGTTAATTGTAAACTTCAGATTTTGTACTTCAACTATCTAACACAAGATAAAAATGAGGTAGGGAAACTACACGGAGAAAATATTGTAGTAAAAATCACGTTAAAATCTGTTTACAATGTCCTTTAACACTATACTGAAAAATTGTAGTAGAAAGTCAAACGTGCATAAAATTTTGAAACAAATGTACAGTAATCTTATCGTTCTGTACGGTCTAAGATCACAAAAATGTAATTTTTACCACAATATTTTCTCTCAGTGTAGTTTAACGTCAAGTTATGTGTGTCGAGATGATTATGCGTTAATAACAGCTGTTATGTGGACAGAAAGAAATTTATAGTAATTTTCACGCATGTTCTCAATTTTCACGACAATTAGGCAATACTGACAGCTACCAATAGTTCGCAAACGGCGCGTGCCGAGCATAATACACATTTAAGCGAGACACGCGCGCGTGTGCACACGTGGCCGACGCCGTATGACAGTAGTTAGCCTACATACACGTTGTAATTCGTAAAAGGACTCGGTAATGCAAACGGTAACTGGAACTCCGTGGCCTCGTTCAAGGCCGGTCCTCGTTACGGTACTAACTCCCGTCTACCGCTCAACTCCGATTTCTTCGTGCGATTCTGTGTCGCGCATACACATGTGGTTGGCCCGATGGACGCTTGGAAAAATATGCAAGGTGTACTCTTCGTCCAAGATCGCGAAGATAAAAGCTCCTACTCTTAACGCCGTTTGGCATTTGGTGTACACCGTATATCTTTGTCGTGCTACACGAAAACAGCGAGATGAGGATGACACATCCACTTAATATTGGCCAAATTCCTTCGCACCGCGTTTCCGAAGGTAAAGTGTGTGTAGGGTGGAATGCACCGATGGACGGGTGCGCGTTGTACACTGCTCGATACATGAGGTAATGTTCAGCAAGGAATTTGTATAAATGGGACATGAGAAATATAATTTGACCTCTGAGAATGTTATGAATTAGATCAGACTTCGTCTATATGAATTATCATGTTCACCGGAGTCAGTGAATACTCATTGACGCGCGATATTTCGTCAGCTTAAATTTCCTCCTCACACTATTCATTACAAAAGTATCGCAATACAAACGACGTGCCATTATTATTGATATTCGACCCGAATTATTGAGTTCTTCGATAAAGAATGCAGCCTTATCTTACGAGCTCGGCAAATGATTCGAACACACCGCAAAGCGAACGATAAGATATCAACGAAAGATGCGTATAAAGTACCAATGGAAGACCAAGTAAACCAGCGTATTAAAAATGTGGCTGCTGCTACATAATTTATCGACTGTCTAACAATGAATATTTATGCCTACCTACATACACACACACACATATATATATATATATATATATATATATATATATATATATATATATATATATATAT